TTTCTGGCTGGGGCTGTCTTCTTGGAACACATCGGGCTTATGTTCTAAGTGCATTGTTTTGTTCTTAGAACATTTTGTGGCTTCTCAGAACAATTCGTGGTAGGACTACAGATATGCCAGGACGGTCGGTCCCTGCTCAAAGTACGTTCCGCGCGAGGCGCCGCCCGCGGGGCCCAGCCCGCGAGGCCGTGGTCTGTGGAGATCCCGGCTGCCTCGCTGCGCCCGCCTGGAGGCGCAGCGCGTGCCGTGCGCGAAGACGTCCGTGTCCGTAGATACGCTGCGTGTTGGCTCGGCGTATCTCACCACCCACCAAACCACCCCAACCCAACCCGAAGGCTCAGATTTGCCCTCCATTTCCAGGGGGGGGGGGTTGGGAACAACGAAAAAACACGTATGGAACCCATACCCCCCCCCCACCCCGAAATTCGGGTCTTCGGGTTGGGTTGGGGTGGTCTGGTAGGTAGTCAGTATCAGCCCACGTGCTGGCGAACGTGTGGGGGGTCTTACTTGCGTCTTCAGTCTATCGGGGGCGGAAAAGAGGGGGGTGATGACTAGGGGGGGGTGGATATCATCTCGGGGGCCATGATAGTTCCCCAGATGTTATGGCGCCTCTTCTTATTTCCTTACGTCCCTGGCCCCCCCGCTGGGCCGCGCACATGCCGCCGGTCATGATTTGCACCCCCCCCCCTCTTGGACACCCCCCTCTTGGCCGCTCCCGAAACACGTGCCGTGCGTGAAGACGTCCGTGTCCGTAAATACGTTGCGTGTTGGCTCAGCGTATTAGCCCACGTGCTGGCGAACGTGTGGGGGGTCTTACTTGCGTCATCAGTCTGCGTGTTGAGCTGTGTATCAGTACGGTACGTGTTTCGTGTTGCGTACGAGGGCAGACGTTGCGTGTTGGCTCAGCGTTATTGCCCACGTGCTGGCGAACGTGTGGGGGGTCTTACTTGCGTCTTCGGTCTGCGTGTTGAGCTCCGTATCAGTACGGTGCGTGTTTCGTGTTGCGTACGAGGGCTGCCAAGATGGAGGTTGCTTCCCGCCAGCACCCAGGAAGCCACGTGGAGCCGACCCCCTCCCGTCCCTCCGCTGACCCGTGCTGTGGGAGCGCTATACGCCGATCAGGCATCTTAAGAAAACGCGTCAACTATCATAGACTCCAGATGTCGCTTAAGAAGATCAAGGGTTTCGACTGGGTCCTGTGATTTTTCGTGGAGCTTTTTTTAGTAGTAGACCTGTCGCATCTCTGGACCTGGACTGCTGTTCAAGAAAACGCCTGGAGTGCAGGCAATTCCCTACCTAGGCTCTGCCTAGAAGGGTTCTTACTCGGTTTGCTTAAAGGGCCGGGCAGTGGGACACGCCCCGGGCGGTTCCCCCGGCATCCGTTCCGCGGTTCCCCCAGTGACGTTCCCTTAGCTTCGCGTTGCTTATCTCATCTTAGCTTAGCTTATGTCATCTTAGCTTAGCTTATCTTCATCTTAGCTCAGGTGTATATTAGCTTAGCTCACCTTCATCTTAGCTTTGCCGAGTTTTAGCATAGCAGAGCACAGCATAGCATAGCAGAGCGTAACACAGCGCCGCACAGCATATCATAGCAAAGCCCAGCATAGCACAGCATAGCGCAGCATAGCATAGCACAGCACAGCACAGCACAGCATAGCGTAGCATAGCATAGCATAGCATAGTGCAGCTTAGCATTGCATAGCATAGCTTAGCATAGCACTGCACAGCATGACATAGCATATCATAGCATAGCATGCCATATCATAGCCAAGCATTGCATAGCATAGTATAGCATAGCGCAGCATAACATACCATAGCATAGCATAGCATAGCATAGCGCAGCATAGCATTGCATAGTATAGCATAGCATAGCATAGCAACTAATGCTGTTTTCCTAGGGGCTCCAATTTCTAGGTAGGGTCGCACTTGGGTCATTTTCTTAGCGTCGAGTTTTCTTGACTCTAAGCAGGGGTGTATCGGCATCACCCCGACATACTATTACTGTGTGTGAGTCGCCCCCCCCCCCAGGGTCGACGCGGCCACCGAGAAATCTTATAGTGTACGCGTCTGGCCACACCGCTCGGGACACGATGTCCTACACGATGGGTCTACTACATGTGCGGGTCGGACGCGCGCCTCCAAGGAGGACACATCGTACTAGTATGTCCCTGTGCGCCCTAGTGTATAATGTGGCCGCCCTGGGCCCGCGAAGTGGTTCTGAAGTGGTTCTGGCCCAGACCGCAGGGTCGTGGGCGGCAACGAGGGGGGGATGACTGGGGGGGGGGGGGGATACCATGGCGTGGGCCATGATATCTCCCCAGAGTTCATGGCGCCCTCGTCCTGTTTCATTGCGTCCCTGCCCCTCCTCCCCCCCCCCTGGGCCGGCCACGCTGCTGGCCATGCGTTGCGCCCCCCCCTCCTTGGACGCCCCCCTCCTGGCCGACCCCGGCTGGGGTCTGCGCCGACCCCCTTGGCGCCGGCGCGAGGCCTCGGCCCCGCCTCCGAGGAGGGCCTCTACGCGAGCTCGCGGCGAGGACGCGTCGAGGTCGGAGAACGCCAACTATACCCGTTGAGCAGAATGCAGCCCCTAACCTCGGAGGAGGAAGCTCGGGGGCGGCAAAGAGGGGGGTGATGACTAGGGGTGGTGGATATCATGGCGGGGGCCATGATGTTTCCCCAGATTTCATGGCGCCTCTTCTTATTTCATTACGTCCCTGGCCCCCCCGCTGGGCCGCGCACATGCCGCCGGTCATGATTTGCACCCCCCCCTCTTGGACACCCCCCTCTTGGCCGCCCCCGATAACCTCGGAGGAGGGAGCGGTACCCGTAGCTCTACGCCTCTAGGCCTCCGAGATGGGGTCGGAGTAGATGGGGTCGGAGGATGGCGCTGCATCGCCGATGCATCCACGATGCGGTTCGATGCGGAGCCCGATGTTCTCCACGCCGACGTCGCCGAGGCGTCTCCGACGTTGCCGGTGCTTCGCCGATGCTTCGGCGATGCACTGGCGATGCGGTGCGATCTTGCGACCCCATCTACTCGGACCCCATCTAGGAGGCCTCTACCCCCTCGCCCGTTTTTCCCTTTGGGGGGCCTCCTGGGAGTCCCTCGTCGCCACCGCTGGATTCGCCTCGAAATCCTGGTCAGAACGCACCCCGGAAGAGGTCCGTGGATTAGCGGTATCGGTACCTCTGGGTTTCCCCATATTCGTTGAGCATAATGCAACCCTTAACCCTGATAGCACAATGGATGTGTGTGTGTGTGGCCTGACTTAGGCCCCCGATGTTCAGGGGTATCCCTAAACACATAGGTGGTTGCGTCTGATGCATCTGCAACAAGATCCCCCCATCTCTGATGCGTTTGGCCCTCCTGGGTCAGGTCCCCCCCGCAGGGTTAGGGGTACTCTTCTTGCTCACCATACACACCTGCAATGATCCGGCCAGGCCCATCCTGGGGCCAAGATCGGCGCACATTGAGGAGTTCCAGACAAGGGCCTCGCCCCTGGCGCATCCTCGCCCTCGGCGGACGGCCGACGGGAGTAGAACAGTGGCGGCTAGGCCGACGGAAGCTCGGCGGAAGGCGGCGGAATCAAAGCCACGCCAGGAGGGCGCATGCATAGTGTCTGCGCCGATCATTTGCCGAGGGGGGTGACTTGGACACGATCCGTGCAGGTGTGTAGCTGGCGTGCTCCTGCCAGGCTCCCGCCGAACCTGGCGATCATGTGCCCCACGCCCGTGGTGTCGGGAAATCCGTGGGGCCGCTGGGTGGGGCTTGCCCGAGTCGGCACTCGAGGATCAGTCGATCTAGGTCCGAGCGCTCGCGAGAGGAGGAGAAGGAGGAGGAGGAGGAGGAGGAGGAGGAGTGGGGAGGAGGAGGGATGTGGAGGGAAATCCGTGGGGCCGCTGGGTGGGGCCTGCCCGAGTTGACACTCAAGGGTCAGTCGACCTAGGTCCGAGGATCTATCGGCCGATCCACAGAGGATCGATTCGTCGAGGTTCGACCGACCGAGGGCGGTCCTGTCCGTGTTCAGCGCTCGCTCGCTCGGGAGCGCTCGCGAGAGGAGTAGGAGGAGAAGGAGGAGGAGGAGGAGGAGGAGGAGGAGGAGGAGAAGGAGGAGGAGGAGGAGGAGGAGGAGGAGGAGGGATTGAGGAGGAGGAGGAGGAGGAGGGAGGAGGAGGAGGAGGGAGGAGGGACGAGGAGAGAGGAGGAGGAGGAGGAGAGGAGGAGGAGGAGGAGGAGGAGGGATGAGGAGGGGAAGGAGGAGGAGGAGGAGGCGGAGGAGGAGGTGGAGGAGGAGGAGGAGGGGGAGGAGGAGGTGGGGGGAGCGGAAGGCCAGCGTGCGAATCACGTAAAGCAGGATCAGAGGAAGAGGAGGAGGAGCAGGAGGAGGAGCAGTAGGAGGAGCAGGAGGAGGAGCAGGAGGAGCAGGATGAGCAGGACTGAGACGTCCAGCGGAGAGCCTCCCGGCCTGCCCTCCACTTCTCATCTCCTGCATTCCCTCCCCTCCCTCCCCTGCCTCCCCTTCCCTCGGCTCCCCTTACCTCCCCTCCCCTGGCCCCTGCTCCCCTCCTGCTGCCTGCTTCTCGTCTTGTGTGTTGTGTTGCTTGTGTGCTTATGTGTGGCATCCCTCTCTTTACCCTTATTCCTGTCACGCGTATCTCTCTCTCTCTCTATCTCTCTCTCTCTCTCTCTCTCTCTCTCTCCCTGGGAACGTGGCCGGGAGGGTCCCGCCCAGGGACCTCGGCGGCACATCGGCGGCCCAGGGCCGTATTTTCCTTGTGTTTTTTCTTGCAAGGTTTCGGCAACCCAGAGCCAGCAGAGCCCCAAGAGGTTGCAGGGAGCTCCAGGGGCTGCTCCCGCCTGGTGCCCCAGGTCTCCCACAGGCTTCTCAGAGGCCTCCAGGAGAGCTCACCAAAGCTCAAACACTTGGTTTTTCCTACTGTTTTTCCTACGCTTTTCTCCCTGCAGCCTGTTCTGCATCCCCACGCTGCACGGCAGCCCCAGAGGACGCCCAAAGCGTCCTGGCTCGGCCCCGGAGGCTCCCAAGCTTGTCCCCAGATGGCTCCGCATGGGAGGATCGGCGCGCACTTTCCGTTTATTTTTACAGGGTTTCGGCGATCCGGAGCCAACAGAGCCCCAAGAGGTTGCAAGGATCTCCAGAGGCTGCTCCCGCCTGGTGCCAGAGGCTTCCCACAGGCCTCACATTTATGGTTATATATATATATATATATATATATATCTACATATATATACACATATATGTAAATATATATGTGTGTGTATATATATATATATATGTATTCCCCCCCCCGCCCCGGGTGCCACACCTCCGCGCCACATCTCGGGAACGCTCCCGGTACCGCTCCCCCGGGCGTTCCGTGGAGCTTCCACGGCGCTCCAGGAAGCCCAAGACGACTCCCAGGAGCGCCCAGAATGCGAAAGGATGGTCTAAGACGCTCCCAAGCAGGCCAGGTCAGCCATCCGACGGCTCTCGAGGCTCCCAGGTAACCTCCAAGAGACCCCAAGAGAGGTCCGAGAGGCGTTCCTGGACGGCCCGAAGATGCCCAAATCGTGGATTTGCATTGTTTTTATTGTTATATGTTTTTGGCTTCTCGCGTTTTCGAGCTTCCAACGGTCCAAGAGCGCCGAAGAGGCTCCCAAGACCGCCCCAAGACCACCCCAGAGACCCCCAGGACGGCCCCACGAGAGACTGCCGAAGAGGCGCCCAGGACAGCCCCAGACCACCCCAGAGCAGGCCCAAGATGGGCCCAAGAGCGGGAGCAGAAGGCTTCCAGAGACCTCCGAGAAGCTTCCGGGGCCCCCCAGGAGCCCCGAACACTCGGGTCGGGCGAAAGGGGGGGATTGGGAAAGGGGGGGTTACGAAATTTGCTGCATGCAGCTGGTTTCGGCCTCTCCGAGGGGCCCATTCCTCGATACGTAGCCGCCTCCGGCGCCGGGAGGCGCCGGGGAAATCAGCTACGTGAGCTGATTCTCAAACCCCCCCTTTGCTATCCCCCCCTTTCGCCCGACCCGAAACACATCCCCGATCCTCGAGAGGCACCAAGAAGACCCCGACGAGGCTCCAAGAACAGCCCAAGAGAGCTGCGCGAGCCGGCCCGAGAGAGCCAAGGAGGGCACAGTCGTTATGGTGTCTCCCATGCTTCCTCGCCTTCTTACGTTTGCCCGCTTCCAACCCTCGAAGATCGAGGATTTCGAGAAGGAGAAAGAATGGAATTCCAATGTTTTTTTCGAACTGGGACTCTTACTCGAGGGTCCAACACGTCGCCTGACATCTTGCCGGTACCCCACCTCCTTCCCGTTTCCCGGGGCGGGACCCCAAGATGCCGAAGGACAGCCTATGACGACCCCAAGGAGCCCAAAGAACGTAAAGAACGGCCCAACACGCGGCCGCGCAGCCCGAGACACCATTCCGACGGCTCTCCAGGCCTCTAGGAGGCATCCAGAAGCCCGAGAAGTTCCGGAAGCTCCCACACCCGTGAAGGGCCCGGCTAACAAAACCTGCGAGGCACTAACAAAAATAGCGCCGAACAGCGCCGAGGAATAGGAAAAGCATGGAAATTCCACAGTTCCTTTTTTTGTAAACTTGGCCCCGGGTGCACAATTCAGACCCCCCTCACCTCCCTCCAAAAACCCAAAGAAGCCTTTGAGGGCCCCAAATCGTTGAATACCTAAAGGGAATTAATGATTTCTGCGTTTCCGCACTTCCCCTTCTATACGATTCCGAAGCTTGCGCAGGGCCTCCAAGGGAGTCCCTGGACGCAAGAAGCGACCCAAATGGCATTACATGCGTTTATCAAGCCTACCTTGAACTTGAGCGCGCGCGAAGCGCGCGATGGTTCTAGTATGTATGTATGTATGTATGTATGTATGCATGCATGCATGCATGCATGCATGCATGCATGCATGCATGCATGTATGTATGTATGTATGTATGTACGTATGTATTTATATATATATATACATATATATATGTACATATGCGTATGTTTCGATATATGTGTATGTATAAAAACAATACCCCGACGGAAAGATTCCACATGAAAACCATTTCGGCTAGTCTGGAAATAGCCTTCACTGTCGTCCTCGCGGTGAGCGAGGCTCCCTTATTGTCTTTTCTGCGTCCTTAGCATGCTCGCCCTGGCGCAGGGCCCTCACCCGCTCCCCGCGTTGCCCTTGCCTCGCCCTCCTGCTGTTTGTTTCGTCACCCACCACCTCCTCTCCCGTCTATTGCAAGAGCGCGCGCGCGCGTCGATTTTCCTCGACGCCGTCGCCGCCTCGGCCAGCGCGGGCGCATTCCCGAATGGCCGCGTCGCGCGGCCGTTGGGACAACCCCGCGGGCCAGGCCGTTGGGGCAATCGCGCGAGCCGCTGGGGCGCGGGAACAAGCCGTTGGGACAAGCCCGCAGGCACCGAGTTACCCACGGCCGCGGTCAGGCGGGAGGCAGCACGAAGCCAAGCTCTGCGGCGAGCCCGATTTGGCAGAGGATGGGTTACCACCCCCGGCCCGGACGCAAGGGTCCCCCCTGCGCCCGATTCGGCAGACGATGGGCTACCACTGCCAGCCCGGAGACAACGGTTTCCCCCTGCCCCCGATTCGGCTGACGATGGGTTACCACCGCCAGCCCTGAGACAAAGGTGTCCCCTTGCCCCCGCTTCGGCCGAGCATGGGTTACCACCCCCGGCCCGGACGCAAGGGTTTCCCCCTGCGCCCGGCCGCCGTTGTCGCCCTCACCTCTTGTTTTTCCTTTTCCTCCTCTTCTGATGGGTCAGGCGAATCGCCTTCTGAAGAGCGAATAAGGAAGGGGCTCCCGCCCGAGAGTTCCTCACAATTCACTCACAGACGAGGTTCCCCCGCCTGATGTTTCCTACATGTTCAGGCTTCGGGAACCCCAAAGTGACGACAGTTACAATGTTGGGGAGGATCCGCTCGGATTTAAAACATACAGTGCGAGCCGCATAGGGAGGGGGCTCCCGCCTCAGACTTCCTCACATCTCACTCACAAACGAGGCTCCCCGCTTGATGTTTCCCCCGCATTCAGGCTTCAGGAACCCCAAAGTGACGACACTTACGGGGTTGAAGATGACCCGCTCGGATTAAAACGTGAGTTGCGGGCCCCATAAGTAGGGGGCTTCCGTTTAAGATTTCCTCACAGCTCACTCACAGACGAGGCTCCCGCCTGATACCTCCCCCATACTCAGGCCCCAAGAGGCCAAATTGACGACGGCACAGGGATGAAATTGACCCGCTCGGATTCGATGATAAAAGTGCGGGCCCCACAGGGAGGGGGTTACCGCTTGAACTCGTTAGATTCAGGCTTCGGGAGCCCCAGAGTGACGACAGTTACAGGATTGAGGAGGACCCGCTCGGTTTAAAGCATCATGCGCGGGCCCCGCAGGGAGAGAGCTCCCGTTTGAGACTTCCGCACAGTTCAGTCACAGACGAGGCTCCCCGCCTGAGACTTCCCCATATTCAAGCCTCGGGAGCCCAACAGTGACGACAGTTAAAGGCTTGAGGAACGCCCGTTCGGATTAAAAACGTGAAGTGCGGGCTCCATAGGAAGGGGCTCCCGGTTGAGACTTCCTCACGGTTCACCCAAAGACGAGGCTCCCCGCCTGATACTTCCTCCATACTCAGGCGTCGGGAACCCCAAAATGACGACGGTTAAAGAGTTGAGGAAGGCCCGCTCGGATTAAAAACATGAGGTGCGGGCCCCACACGGAGGGGGCTCCCGCTTGAAACTTCGTCGCAGTTCACTCACACGCGAGGCTCCCCGCCCGATACTTCCTCCATATTCTGGCCTCGGGAGCTCCATATTCCGGTTGATACTTTCCCCATATTCAAGCTAGCGAGTGAGTGGGCGAGGGATGAGTGAGTGAATGATTGAATGAGTGATGATGATGATGATGATGATGATGATGATGATGATGATGATGATGATGATGAGGATGAGGATGAGGATGAGGATGAGGATGAGGATGAGGATGAGGATGAGGATGAGGATGAGGATGAGGATGAGGATGAGGATGAGGATGAGGATGAGGATGAGGATGAGGATGAGGATGAGGATGAGGATGATGCAGATGATGCAGATGATGAGTGAGTGGGTGAGTGAGTGTGTGATCGAGTGGTGAAAAGGTGGTGAAGATGGTCTGTGTGTTGGTGAATGTGAGTGTGAGTGAGTGTGTGTTCCTGCGCGGAGGGTCCAGAGAAAACAAGAACCCCTTTCTGGATGTGGGGGAGCATGGGGAGTGGGTCCCGCGGGGCCCATAGTTCACTGATTCGGTACCTGGTTGTTTTGGACCCGTCGGGGGGCGCCAGAAGGCGTCAACGAGAGGGCTGGGTGGCTCCGGGGCTTGAGGAATCTGAGAGAAAGGAAAGGAATGCGAGGGAGTCTGGAGGAGTCCCAAGGAGAATGGAGGAAGCCAAAGAAGCCCCGAGGAATCTAAGGGAGTCCCGGAACTTCTGGGAACCCATATATGGAGGGCAAGGAGCCCTGAGGAATCGAGAGCAACCCAAAGGTTATTCAATCGTTTCGCTCACTCCGCCGGCCCGTATTGCATGATCGCTACTGCTTCGGCGCGGGCTCGGGGCCATTTCGGCGCCGCCGGAAGGAGGAAGATGAGGATGGGGAGGGGGAGGGGAGGAGGAGAAGAGGATGAGAAGGAACGGCAGGAGGGTGAAGATAAATATGAGGAGGAGGAGGAGGAGGAGGAAGAGAAAAGGGCGGAGGAGGAAGCCTCTCGATGGCATCTTGCGGCGCTCTTGGGGCCAGACAGGGCCGTCGTCCAGATGCTTCTTTGGGAGGCACTGGGGTCTGTTGAGAGGCCGTTCGGGGGCGCCTGGGAGACATTTTTGAAGTCTTGTAGGGCCTCTTTTGAGCCTCCTCGGAGCCTCCTGGGGTCTCTTGGGGGCCTCTTGGCGGCATCTTGGGCCATCTTGGGGGCCTCTCGGGGCCTCCTGGGGCCCTCTTGGGGCGGAAGG